TGCTCCTTCAGGATTTTCTGATTGAGAGCAGAATGCATGGTTCCATCAGTTATGGCAAGTCATCCAGGTCCTGAAGCTGCAAAGCAGCCCCAGACCATCACACTACCACCACCATGTTTGACTGTTGGTATGATGTTCTTTTTATGAAATGCTGTGTTGGTTTTACGCCGGATGTAACGGGACACACACCTTCCACAAAGTTCAACTTTTGTCTCATCAGTCCACGGAATATTTGCCCAAAAGTCTTGGGGATAATCAAGATATTTTTGGCAAATGTGAGACAAGCCTTTGTGTTCTTTTTGGTCAGCAGTAACTTTTGCCTTGGAACTCTCCCATGGATGCCGTTTTTGCCCAGTCTCTTTCTTATTGTTGAATCATGAACACTGACCTTAATTGAGGCAAGTGAGGCTGCAGTTCTTTAGATGTTGTTCTGGGTTCTTTTATGACCTCGTCGTTGTGCTCTTGGAAGCCTTAGAAATGGCTTTATAACCCTTTCCAGACTGATACATGTCAACTATTTTGTTTCTCATCTGTTCTTGAATTTCTTTAGATCGCGGCATGATGTGTTGCTCTTCAAGCATGCTTCACTTTGTCAGACAGGTTCTATTTAAGTGATTTCTTGATACAGCAGGTCTGGCAGTAATCAGGTCTGGGTGTGGCTAGTGAAATTTAACTCCGCTTTCTAAAATAATGAGTTTACTCACAGTTCTTTCATGATTTAACAGGAGGGGCAATTCATTTTTCACGTAGGGCCCGGTAGGTTTGGACAGCTTTTTTCCCTTAGCAAATGAAATCATCATTTAAAAACTAATGTGACAAATATGCAAAAAAAAAAAAAAATAAATAAAAAAAAAGGAAGGGGGCAAAAACCTTTTCACGGCACTATATATATATATATACACACACACACACACACATTTTTTTTGACATAAGTACATAGTAGTTAGACACATTTGAACATTTGGGACCTAAAGGGTGTTCAATTAAATTCAATGAAATACAATTAAGCACACTTCCTTCACATGGGTGTACCTTGCCCCATAGACTTACATTCAGGTTTATTATTGTTAAAAGGGCAAAACACAATTATTTTCTGTTGTGATCACATTTGATTGAATCTAGTACACACTTTTACACAATCTGGGAAAGCTTTTTTCTCTGCTTTTAGGTCATTATTTGCACATTGAGGCGTCAGTGATGCTGGCCGGTCACAAAGCGCGTCTCCTCTCCAGCTCTCTGCGCGTCTCTAGGAAAACACAGTGCTTGCAGTTCTACTACCACATGTACGGCTCAGGGATCGGACAGCTGAGCGTTTACCTCCAGACTGGACAAGAGAACCAGGACAAACTACTGTGGACGAGCCATGGAGAGCAGGGCATCTCCTGGCTCAGAGCGTCAGTGAACTACCAATGTGACCGACAGCACCAGGTTAGTTGCATGAAGCTGCATTATAATCAACATTCACTCAGCATCATTTTCATTAATATATTACATCTATATCTCCACATACTTAGATTGTGTTTGAAGCCACTAGAGGAGCATCAGTAAGGAGTGATATTGCAATCGATGATGTTGTTTTTGAAAGAGGACCATGCAGAGGTATTCATAATAAGTTGATTATCATACACATCTGTTATTCAAGTTACCGTGAACAACTTTACATACTATTTGTGTTTTTATCCACACAGAATATGCTGATGACCATATCCCTCATCTGCGCCTCTCTGGAAATAATAATGATATTCAGTCAATGAATCTTAAATAGAAAAGACAGAAAGAGAAAAAAGCTGGGAAACTGAAACCATGTGACCGTACAGCTGGAGTGCAGTGATCTGTGAGGATGAAAGCCAAGGAGATGACTGCATTGTGAGCAGAAATGATCACCTAAAGACGTTCCTTGTGTATTTGACTTTTGAACACCTGGTTCATTCCTGATATACAGTTCCTCATGTGTGTATCATATGGCTTAATATATTGAATAAATGGTTAAAGATGGAAACCATATTAGGTCACATTAAAAAGCCTCTATATATATACTTCAGGACATCAGCATGTAGATCTGGTGATTTTTTTAAATGTCAAATAAAACTGAAAATTGCAGAGACTTCTATTTTATGCAAATAGCTTTTTTTTTTTTTTTTTTAACTTTAAATCTTTAGTCCTTCATTATTTGTAAGGGTGTGTAATATGTCATGTCTAAAATTTTTAAATGTAACAAGCATTCCTGATTATCCTATTCTTTTGGGAGGGTGACTGACTGACTGACATTAGCTTGGTTATTACACAGCTACTAAATAAATATATAAATATACAGTAAATGGATGTGAAATACTGATATGTGTTGAAGTTATTTTATTACGTGAGAAGAAAGAGAGTGCAAAGTGATAGATAGTGATAGTGAGAGACATGAAACCAACACAAAATCAACGGAGAAAATAGATTAAATGTCAAATAGGCTAAATATATGATGTATTATGTATTTTATAAAACGAAAGTGATGTATGTGTGCGTGTGTGTATGTATGTACATATATATATATATATGCAATCTTTATATCGGGTAAAATAAATAAGTTGAATAGGGTAAAAAGTGTTTTTTATATATAAAAAGGTTTTTATAAGAATAAAAGGTTTGGCATTTAATGAGCAAAAATTCCGTACACTTTGAAAAAGTCATCAGGTACATAAAATGCACGTACTGCGCACAGTATACACTAACGTTACATGCTGTAGAAATGGAAAGAGTAGTATGTTGTTAGTATGCTAACTAGTATATATAGTAGGGTAATTCTTTACAGCCATCTAGTGCTTATGTGTAGTAAGCGCACAAACACCCCTAACATATAACGTGAAACGCCCCGACATGGCAACCCTGGAACGTGTCACGTGACAACCGCCGGCCAATCACACGGCGACTTGCCCACAACACAGGCGCGAAACGAAAGCGTTGTGACGCTGGTGCGGAATCAAGCGGCGGTGTTAACGGGACGAGAAATGGACCTGTCGCAGAAGAGAAAACGAATAAGTCACGAATTAACCAAGTCACAGCCCTCCAGGCGCGAAGCTGCACCGTCCTGCAGCACAAATGGCCAAGCAGGAGGTTTCGTGGAGGGCTCTATCCTCCGCATCACCATGCGCAACTTCCTGTGAGGAATTCACTCTTTAACAAGTTACATACTTCAAAATGTCTCTGTTTCACTTCCATAACAGTTTTTTTGCACTTTCATGTCAGGTGTTTTCGAATTAAATCGTGATGAATGATATTTGTAATACTAGTCATCTGTGTTTGTAGCACATACGATCACTCGGAAGTTTTCCCGGGACCCAAGCTGAACATGATCGTGGGAGCCAATGGCACAGGGAAGTCCAGTATAGTGTGTGCCATCTGCCTGGGCCTGGCGGGAAAAACAGCCGTCCTGGGCCGAGGAGACAAGGCGAGTCACTCTCATCTGATCACCGAGAGCTGCCTGACAGCTCGTGTTAGGTTACACACTTTTATTATATTGTAGATTAAGTATCATGAGCATTTCTGGTCATTTCACACCAGCCATCTGCTGTCCAACCATTTCTAGACACTGTCCCAAAAGCTTTTACAAGTGCAAAAACTCACAGTATGATTTGCAAATACACACAGATGATTATATCTGTGTAGTTTAGTGCACATAGTACTCAAAAATCTGTGTGAATGCGGTTTTTGCATGTGCAGATGCTTCGGAGGCAGTTGTGCCGAGATGATTTGGTTGCCTGTAGTCAGAATGCAAACAAAGTGTACAAGCTGGTAAATCCGGTAACTTAAAGGGATAGTTCACCCAAGAATGAAAATTTGAGTCTATCTGCTCAAATAGTTCTACAGCTTCAGTTTCGGAACTTTCATGCTTAGTAACACATACAGCTGTTCCCTCACCACAGTGCAACAGTGAAAAGGGACCCCTTTCAAACAGTGACACGTTCCGAACGTTGTTTAAGCGACAACGTTGTTTAAGCGTATTGCGGTATTTTAAAAATTCATATCATAACAAAAATAAAAACCGGTATTCGGTATGAACCGGTATACCGCCCAGCACTACTGTAAATGCATTCGTAGTTCATGCGCAGATAAGTCTTCTTTTCTGATAAAAAATGACGAGAGCATACATTTTTTTATGTGCATTTCAAGACTTTATTCTCTGTTTCCGATTTTAGGAGTATGAAACGGCACGTAAAGAGCTCGAGGGGGTGAAGAAGGAGAGAGAGGAAATGAAAAAGAAGCTGAAGTCGCTAAAAGAAGCTCAGGAGCCACTGCTCAGGAAGATCCGCTCGGTGGAGAGTCAGCTGCAGCCCATCGAGCAGCAGATGAAGGAGCTGGTCTGCACAAATCACAAACCTGATTGCCAAGAATCTATTTTATATTTCCTTTATTATATAAAAATAATGCCACTGTTTTTTCCCCACAATTTCTCAGACTGCCGGTATCAGAGACGCATCGCAGAAATGTAAGCAGAAACATGATCAGCTGGAATATAGGAATAAAGAGGTTTGTTCTGAAAGACTACCAACAAAACATAAGAAACCGTTAAAGACCATATTGAAACACTAGCTGATTAGTCTGCTTCTGTCAAACGCTAGGTTGATGACATCAGACAGGACCTGAGTCTGAAGCAGACCGAGGAGGCGGACCGACAGAAGCGGATCGGACACACGCAGCTCATGATCAAAGACCTGCAGAAGGAGTTACAGAACATGGGCAGCATGGAGGACGTCACGCCTCAGATTGAGGCTGTTAATGCAGATCTGAGGAAAATCCAGGAGGAAAAAGCCAAACTGGAGGGCGAGATGTTGGACCTGCGCAGAGATAAAGACGAAGCCTTTGGAGAATTAAACCGTAATGTTTAAGATGAATTTAGTAGCTGAAAAAACTAGGGCTGCGACGCTAAATTGATGCAGAATTGATTCGTGGCTCGATTCTGAGATCTTCCAAATGCATCGCGATTCTCTCTGGAATCAATTCTGAGCTTAAGTTTTAACAGCAGATGGCGCTCTAATCTAGTTTTTATCCGCACACTCAAATGCTCAAGAAGAAGAGCGCTGAAGAGTTCGGCTGAGTGTGTAATTTCACCTCGGCTCAGAATGCTTTTTTGACGCCAGATTAATGTAAACGCAGCCCACTGTGAACACCCTTGTAATTCGCTTCAACCTTTTCAAATTTTATGAATGATTATTTTAGGTTCAGTGTGTGTAAGGATTTGGAAACAAGCAGAGTACGGCTGTTTCTAAAGCATGCAGCGCCATCTGCTGTTCAAAACTACGCTCAGAATCGACTCGAGGAAGAATCGCGATGCATTCAGGAAATCTCAGAATCAATTCTGAATAATTTCTCGATTCGCGATGCATCGATTTATTTTCCCAGCCCTAGAAAAAACATACAAATGTTGTATAAGAAGCATTTTTTGCCTGTTGTGAAGAAATTACCCTGTTTTAGATAATTATATTGATATATTCATTATACTGATAATTCACCATGCTAAAAGGTCTTTGCACACTGAGTCCAAATTCACGTCCGAAATTTTCGCATGTTAAAAAATAAATACGGCCTCACGTTGTGCCGATCACGTTTACACTGCCTCCAAAACTTTCGTCCGTCATAAAAAAATTCAGATCAGGTTCGATTTTCTGCGTTTTCGCATCCGTAACAAGTATTTTGATAGGAAAGAGAAAAAAAACGCATATGAAAATTTCGGACTCGGTGTGCAATGACCTTAAGTATTGCACTCATGTTTAGTTTGTTGGATGTTCTTCTGAAGGTTTGCGGAATCGTCAGAGGAGTCTGGACGACATGATGAAGGTGAAAGAGGATAAACTGCGCAACCGTTTTCGTGACACCTACACCGCCCTCAAGTGGCTGAGGGATAACCGTGATCGTTTTGAAGGCAACGTCTATGAGCCCATGATGCTGGTGGTGAGAGCACTGCTGCTAATTCAGTTGCTGTTTCTTGGAGATGGGTTTTTAAACAGATCGGTTTGATTTTCTCTCTCTTTTTTGCCAGATAAATGTCCGTGATACTCGGCACGCAAAATACATTGAGAGTCACATTCCTCTCAATGATTTGAGAGCCTTCGTCTTTCAGAGACAGGAGGACATGGAGAAGTTCATGACAGAGGTGAGAAGCTCAGTGAAGAAGCTGACACAATAAAAAAAAAAATCATTTAAAGGGGACCTGTTATGCAAAACTTCACTTTTCACTTTAACATCACTTTTATGAGGTGTTTGAACATAGTTGTGTGTGTGTGAAAACAACCAGCCTGTAATGGTAAAAATCCACCCACACATTGTTTTTTCCCCAAAAAAATCCCAATAAATCATAAACAGTCTCTCTGAACACACAATTCCAGTTTAAAAAGTGTGTGACGATATCTGCCCTATTAGCTTAGACACAGCCCTGAGTGAGAAGCAGCAGTCCGTCATCACTGTTTTCTTGCTGTAGCTGCTTGTCAGCACCAAAGAGGCATTAGAAGGGTTGTGTTTTGAGATGCACCAACGAACATAGAAGTCTCCATCTGAGCCGCTGAGTCCTATGTTTTTCCCTTTCATTTTGCGCCAGACTGCCTCACAAATGAGCGTTAGTTCAACGCTGGATTGGTTGATTCTGAAAGGGGGATCAATACCACCGCTTTGTGCGTGAATGTCAGCTCTAGACAAAGTCAATATTACACGTTTGTTTTCCAAATTGCCTTTCTGAAAGAGCTTCTTGGAACTCAGTAAGGCTTATGTTGCTAAAGCTACCATTGTCTCTGCCTGTTTTCACTGGTGCTGCCTTCACGTGCTACCAGAATCATCATAAATAGGAATGTGGTAGTTAAAAATTGCATATGATAGCAATGTGAAGTCGACTACTTGAATTTGTCCAGCTCATAATCACAAGTGGGACTTATAAAGTTTGTGAAAAAATAAACGCGCATGTATTATGCACAGTACAATCAGATGACTGACTTTTAAACCGATTCCGGTTCCAACATATAAGGCTGAACACCGATACTGAGAGTTTCTGACATTTTCAGTGCGTGAGATTGTTCTGTTTTGTTGTTGCTGGCTCTTGAAGCTCCGCCCTCTTCTGAAAAGGAGGCCGGAAGCACCAGCTCATTTGCATTTAAAGGGACAAACACAAAAACGGCGGTTTTGGCTCATACCCTAAAAGTGTCAATTTTAACAAGCTATAAAACCTTATCTGTGGGGTATTTTGAACTAAAACTTAACATACACACTCTGGGGACATCAGAGACTTATTTTACATCTTGTAAAAAGGGGCATAATAGGTCACCTTTAAACAATCGGTCAGTGAAGGGAAAATGTTGATTGTTCAACTAAGGAGGTTATAATATATGAACAAATTAACAATTTTCTATAAATTTTTTATAAGATTGGTAAAAATATTTTTTCAAAAAAATTTGTCCTGTCTAAATTTTTTTACTGTCTAATATTTAATTTGTGTTGCTTTCTTATAATGAACATGAAATAATATAATGCATTAAAATAATAGAATAATAAACATTTATAATAGAGGGTAAGTAAAGTAAAAGCAGTGCAATGTGAAATGTTTTCTCAGGTGCGAGACACACAGAGGCTGCGAGTTAACACCGTCATTGCTCCAGAGGAGTCCTGCTCTAAACGACCACCATCACGACCACTCGAGACTCTAAAGTAACACCCTCTACTCGACCATTACCAAGACATCTTATTCAGTACATTTATTAAATTGTTTTTGTTTCTTTTTGTCAGGCCTTATGGCTTCTTCTCATATTTGCGTGAGCTGTTCGATGCTCCTGAGGAGGTCATGAGTTACTTATGCTATCAGTACAAAGTCAATGATGTGCCTGTAGGAACAGAGAAGACTAAGAGCATGATCGAGATGGTAGGTCCTCCATCATTCAGCTGGGAAGCTGCCCGAAATATTAATAGACATCAAGCAGTAGATTTTGAATCTAGTTTTGTGCACATGAATGTAATCTGTGACCTAGCTGCTCATTATCAACTTGTAAATAGTCTTCTGTAGCCTACTACTGTAACAGTAGAGCACCAAGGTCATGGGTTTGATTCCCAGAGATCACATGAATTAAAAAAAAAAATTATAGCTTTAATGCAATGTAAAATCCACTATGGATCTGTCAAATGCATAAATTACAATGTAAATGAATGATTCAAATCAGTAATTTTGTGATCAGATAATTTTGAAAATCAGATTTTTGTGATGCAGAAAACACAGAGGGAATCGGTTTATCCAGCCATAAAAATTGAATTTACTGTATATATAGTTTTTAAGTAAAGCTGTACAATGAATCAAATCGTGATATGGGCTATAGTGTCTGTGAACATAAAAGCACAAAAAGACTGCTGTTTAGATATGTAGTCTGCATGTTCTGAATGACTCTGTCTTCAGTATTTGAGGTCATGTAGGCCTACTTCACATGAACTTTATTTCCAGAGCAGCCACTTCCACACAACCATTTATGATAATAAATTTGTATTAAATCACAGAATTTCTGAAAAAAACAACACACATTTTATAGCGCCCTGCTATTGTTAACATTTTAAAAAGGTATTGTTAAAATTTTATGAATTCAATTGATTTGGACAAATGTAATTATTTATTAATTAAAATGTAATTATTCCATTAAAATGGAAAGCATAGAAGTTAGAAAAAATAATGCTGAATTTGGTAAAAAAAAAAAAAAAAAGCTGATTTCATAGGGCCTTACAATCTTGTAACTCGTGTTTTTCTGTGGCAGGTGATCAGAGAGCTTCAGATGAGGATGATCTACACAGCGGAGGAGAAGTACACTGTGAAGAAATCCAACTACTCTAGTAACGTGGTCTCCAGTAACTCGGCCCTGCGACCCTCGCAGTTCCTCACTACGACCATAGATGCAGATGAGAGAAGCCAGCTGGAGGAGCAGCTGAGGGTGAGAGACGCCCATCGGACACACTGTCACCACTGCTTTAGGATTTAAATGTTGCAGCATGTTGGTATATAATAATTTATTTGATTTAGTAGATGAACTGTTGGTGTTTAAACCATTCATTAGGAAAGAAATCACCCTTCAAACAATTTCAGAGACTGATTTTTGTAAGGATTTTTAAAGGAGACCTATTATGCCCCTTTTTACAATATGTAATATAAGTCTCAGGTGTCCCCAGAATGTATCTGAAGTTTCAGCTCAGAATACGTCACAGATCATTTATTACATCATTTTGAAAATAGCTATTTTGAGTGGAAGCAGAAACACGCTGTTTTAGTTTCTTTAAATGGAAATGAGCTGCTGCTGCCACCCCCTTTTCCAGAATAGGACTGTGCCTTTACAGCTCCTACCTCAGATACTCTGCCAAAAAACATCTGTTTGGTTTTGATTATCATGTTTATCGCGCTGAAATCATGCGTTTTAAACCATATTAGTTTAAGCTTCTGATATGCGGTTTTCTGAGCGCACACATCTGAAGCACACGCACAGAAAGCGGCTGTCACACGGCATGTGAGTACTAAACTAAATTAATCTCTTTCATGTCTTATTGCGCTTAGACTGTCAAATACACACAAGTTTATGTTAAAAGCACACATAAGTTACAAAAACACAGTCGCTTATGTCTGTGAAGGTAAGAAATTGCATATTTATATTAGATCTGTGTGGCAGCAGCGTAATATACAGTAAATAAATCAATAAAGCCACCGCTCTCTCGTCTTCTCTGAGGCTGGGACTCTAAACAGTGTTCTGTGCTCGTCAGTGCAGCCAAAGACAGAACTGTTAGCATGCTTTGCTCAAACTTTCGCCATGGCGTTAGAACTGGTACATTATCGCTTGCGGGTTAGAAAGTTGCAGATTAAGGGGCGGCAATATTATAATAAGATCCTCTTTCTACATCACAGGGAGTGAAATCTGAGTGGCTCGTTTTTCACAAGCTTGTAAAGAAAGGCTTACTGAAAAAAAATTCACTGGGTTCTTTTTCACGTTTTCTGGGTTGGTAGATGCACTGGGGAACTGATTATAGCACTTAAATACGGAACAAATCCGATTTTCATGATATGTCACCTTTACGCTATATGTCACAACTCTCCACTTTTTTTTAGTTTGGCTATAAAAAATAAAAAATTGGAAACGGAGATCAACTGAATAAGTGTTAGGGATGCAACGATACCATTTTTTCAGATCCGATCCGATCCAGAAAATTCTGAGTATTGGCTGATTCCGATCCGATACAAGCACAGTTTTTTTTTTAATCAATGTAGAATTTCTATGCTTCTGTGTGTTGATCGTCACTCTTTTGTGTGTTAAACATGAATAATGAAAAATCACAAAAGAAAAAATATATAATCATAATCTTGGACAAAAATACTATTAAAAACTAGGTTAGTGGATAATTTAGCAGCAAAAGTTATTCTAGAAAAATCATGAATGCACAATTTTATAAAAATCTAAACATTTTGTGAAATAACATTTAATGGGGAACAAATAAAAATGAATGTGTAGGACTAAATCTGGTAAAATGTTACACATTGCTCTTTGTATTGTTGTAAAATACATTAATGAAAACAAGTAAATGTATTAGGACTGTCACGATATTAGAGTTTTCACGCCACGGTTATTGTGGCCAAAAGAATCACGGTATCGATATATCGCGATATCTATAGAAAACTTGGGGAATCAGCCAAATTAATTTTTACTTTGTTTATTTAGTTTTTCTTTTTACCCAATGAACATAAGGATACTGATAAACACAGGGCACATGCATTTTCACTTCTTCTTCAGGTCACAGCTGACCTGAGACTCTGGCTTTCTCTGTCTTCTTTGAAGCTCCCTATGAAATAACAAGAGATAAAATACTGTCAAGTTTAACAGTATGATGAATAAATATTAACATTAAAACTGATACTTTAACCTGTTAACTTGCATACCCGAATTTTAATCTCTTTAACCTATAGTTGCGCCGGCGCCAGTGAAGTCATGCAGTTAACGCACTTCTCATTCAGTCTCATTCAAAGTGCTTATGCGCATCCCGTGCACAGAATGATGCACTTGAAACGTCATGGAGTCAGAGCGCGCAGCCACAGCGCTCCGCATAGAAACGTTCAAAGCACAAAGGATAGAGATATTGATGCGTAGTGTATTAAATATGTGTGATAGTTTATTGAGCCTTTTCTTTTAACAGTTTTAAATTTCAGTTACTGTGCGCTCTTGGAGAGAGTTTCATCGTCTTGACTGTCGTAACCGAACGCGACACGCAGTTTGAATGCTGAATGGAGGATGACAGACAGCTGCAGCGGAGAGAAAAATTTACGTCTTGAATTTAACGACTTAAATATTCATCTGTACCTCACATTAAACTATGCAACGGATTCAGAACGCTTGGACTTTGACTTTATGGTGCTTTATATTGTTTTTGTGCTTTCGTGCGGCTTAACAATAACACAGAATAGTATTTGCACAATATCGGATTTTGGATCGGTCACGTCTGACCGATACCCGATCCGGCAGAAACTGCCAGTATCGTAGCCGATACCTGTACTAAGTATCGGATCGATGCGTCCCTAATAAGTGTAATGACCTCAGATTTGACATCTTGCTCGCAGGCAGCAGAGAGGCAGGTGCAGAGCATTGATCAACGGATGGTAGCCATTCGTGAGCAGCAAGCTAAACTGGATCGCCGTGATAATGAGCTGCGTGCTAACAAGAAGAAACTGTCTGAGCTGAAAGGCAAGAAGAGACAACTGGAGCAGAAAATCAGCACAAAACAGGACAGGTACCTTCCTCTGAAAACCAGCTGTGTGCAGCTTTGTTGTGATTTTTTCCCCCCTCCTTCGTTTATATCTTTTTCTCAATGTGCAGTTTACGGCAGATGGAGCAGAATGAGATCAACTTGCAGGCAATTGAAGAGGAAACAAATGCCAAGATCGCTGCTGTAAACAACAAGAAAGTGGCCATAATGGAGGAGTATTTGGGTCACATGCAGGTGTGTTTGTGTTCTCCGAAGCTTGATTTCTACCCTCAGCTGTTCTGTATCTTTCTGTATCTTATGGCTTCTAGGGCTGTCGCGATCCGTCGATTCTATTTGACTATTCAATTAAAAAAAATCCTCGACTTCATTTTGCACGCGTCAGATAACTGGCAAAATACTGGAAGTGGCGCATTTCACGGACGAGAATCCATGAAACGCATTATTACACTGTTTTACAAGGCTGCATGATATATTAAACCCATTTAAAAATCATAATTAAGCATAATGTTATATATATATATATATATATATATATATCGGCTTTATATCAGCCACCCTGCTCTCTTAAGATATTGGCATCGGCTGTCAAAAAAGCAATATCGGTCGACCACTAGTTTTGATATCCACATATTCAAGAAATTACAGTGGCTATAGCATTTCTGTCGTAAAGAAATGGCCAAATATTAAAGATTAAGTGGCCATTTGAATTAAATGATGTTTGGTCAATATTAAACAAAGATTAGATCGCGCAGTAAAGTGTAAAACAATCGTCTGGCCATTGGCACCCTCTGCAGGCCTTTGTTATAATGCGCAATGTACGTTAGCTTTATTGTTTATAATACATTATGTATTTTAACAGTTTTGTTCAATAAACCCATATGATTACTTGCTTTTGATACTTTATTTGAACTAATTATTATTGCCTCATTTATTTGAACTAATTATTATTGCCTCATTGCTATTATATATGTATTTTAAGTAATCGTAAAGGCTATTATTCACTTATGTCTATTTTTGTTACCACAAAAAAAATAATTCTAATTATAGGGCCCTATGAAATCCGTTTTATTTTATGTTTTTTATCTTTAAATTTTTCTATACTCTGTTTTAATGGTTAAATAAAATTTTATAAATCAAAAAGCATGAATTGAGTTTTACAGTTCTATTTTTAACAAATTCTGTTTTCCATTACTTTTCTGGATTCCATTTTAATGGTTCCATTAAATTTTAATAATCAAAAGCATCTCCAATTAATTGATTTTATTAAAAAAATTAATGTATTATTATTTTATTTATTTATTTTTTCAGAAATACGGTGAATGTACATTTTTATCCTAAATAAATTCTATAATAAATAATATTTCTGGTTATCCCTTAAAAGTAATATGTTGATTATAATTTTAATAGTAGTAGTAGTACTATCATTACATTAAGTAATATATTTCTGATTTCTGTCGCAGTTTCTTTAAGTTAACCCGAACTTTTGTTTTGACTCGTTGCTGTGAAGACCTTCAAGTTTCTGTTTGTAGCTTTTGATATGACGATAGTTTTTCTCAAAAGAAACGGTAAAATGCTCGTGAAGTGACTCAGCAGCAGAGGCTGAAAACACCGCGAGCGTCGCGCGCTTTAGTGTGTGTGTAACGTTAGTAAACGAAAACGCGCGTCTGTGCCATTAATTCATTCAGAACATGCAGGATTCATATTTAATAGACAGGTGATGGAGATTTACCGCTGATTACAGAATGGCTTTACTGACAAGATGCACGTTAAATATCGCATGCAATTTATCATGCAGCCCTAGTATTTTTGCGGCTTAATATTCACAGGCACTAGTCCATATCACATTTTGATTTAAATGTACTTACCTACTTTTGATTTATCCATCCAAAAATATACAGTAAAATACGTTTTTATGACTGGATTCCATGATTCCGTCCGCGTTTTCTGTATCGTGGAAATCATAGGGCACTATAATTATCCGATTACTCGATTAATCGTCAGAACAATCGACAGTTTTACTTGATTCCCAAATAATGGTTAGTGACAGCTAGGGATGGGTACCGAAACCCGGTATTTAATCGGTCCCGGGGCTAAATTATGAAAGACCGGAGTATCGATAAGCTCTGACGTTAACGGTTCTGCTATCGGTAATTGAGAAATTAATAAAACACACATACATTTATTATTGCTATATATACATTATCTTGCAAATTCTATCTCACCAGAGTCGCCAGCTGTTTTTCAAACATTTGTCTATGATGCATTTTTGCTATTCGCAATTCAGAAGCGAGATCGCGCTCACGCGGAGGAGCTTCAGCACGCGCAACATGAAAGCCCTGTTTAATTATGATAGAAGAGAGAACTAAACGATCAAACATCTGCTTACACTTTAGGCCTGTGGCTGTTTTATTAAGTTAATTTTATTTTTTTTATTTCGATTTTGGCTTCTAAGGATTATCTATTTCAAATAAATGCTGTTCTTTGTTTATAATAGAATCCTGATTTCCACAGAAATATTAAGCACCAAAACCGTTTTCAACATTGATAATAATCAGAAATATTTCTTGAGCAGCAAATCAGAATATTAGAATGATTTCTGAAGGATCATGTGACGCTGAAGACTGGAGTAATGATGCTGAAAATTCAGCTTTGATCACAGCAATAAATTACATTTTAAAAAATATTCTAGTAGAAAACAGTTCTTTTAAACTGTAATAATATTTTACAATATGACTGCTTTTATTTTTTATCAAATAAGTGCCACGTTGGTGAACAAGAGACTTCAACAATATTTAAAAATCTTACCAACTCCAAACTTCTGAATGAAGAAATAATCATCTATTTTCTCATATTCTTTATTTAAAAGATGACATGATTTGTTTAAATTTGTAGTAACGGTCTTATTATTCCGATTGGCAACCTATATTTCAGGATAATTCAATATATTTTAATTTAGTCAACAAGAGCATGCTCTCATATCTCATCTTGATTAAAAATCCCTCACCCACTGATGAATCGCGCACAGTAAGAACACGTGTGTCTGTGTGTTCGCGCAGGTGGTGTACACCAAACTGGACCAGGCAAAGAACAATCTGTTGGCCACGTGTAAGACCCTGATGAGGAGGGCCAGTGAGATCTGTAACATGACCCCCGGAGAGACGGCCGTCCCAGAGGAACTACACGCAGTGAGCTCCGTCTAACTCAGACACCCCACATCCTTCATTCAGCCTTTCATTCATTATTTTAAAACATTTTATGCATTGTTTCCTCTCAGGCCTTCAGCCAGTTGCCTGATACACTGGATGAGATTGATGCCATGCTGAATGAGGAGAAGACCAGAGCCGAGTGCTTCACCGGCCTCAGTGATGCTGTGAGACAAGCGCATCAGCTCATTTATGCTTAGCCTTTAAAATGTTACTAATCAATCCTTACTTCACTTCTTACTGAAAGCTTACATCAAGAAGAGCCGGTGAATGCAGGCATCTCCAAAGCCCAAAGTATACTTCAGTGTTTTACTCGTACGCTAGCGTATGCGTACAGTCGAACGCACAGAATTTCAGAGTATACTCTATTTGAGGATATATGTGAATGCAGGCGGTCGACACATTCGCTCTAGAAAGCTTCATCTTTGTCCAGTGTCTGTGCTATTTTTTTTCCAGACATTATGACCGATAAAAAATTATTTGTACACTTTTAAACAAAAATTGCTGTTATTTCATAACCCTCTTGCACAATGTGGCCATCTGTTGTTGTTGCATCCTCCGGTATTTTGTTTCTTTGTAGTTTTCGTTTTCTACTGTGAAATTAATGGCCCAGGCCCAGTGCTGCCACCTTGTGGAACAACTGATTAGTGCAAAACAAATTCAGTGCACATGTGCGGTTACAAAAATCGGATGGTGCGCATGCTATTCTGGTGACGAAATTTGCGTCACTTGCACTGTACGTGGACACATAAAAACAGAAGTATACTTTGGTCTTAACTATAGCATAGATGCCAATATTAGCTCCAAAGTAAATTTTTAGTTAAGCATGATAAACAGTGTGCCTCAATATCTGACCATTTTGGGATTGCAAATGACCAGAATGTCAGTTTCAAATTTGACTCTCAGCCTAGTTTAGTAAAAAATTGTAAACCTGTTAAGAGGAACACAATTAAAAGGATAGTTCACCCAAAAATTTAAAGGGGTCCTATTATGCTTTTTCACTTTTTTAATTTTAGTCAGTGTGTAGTGTGTATGTTTGGGCATAAAAAAGATCTTCAAATTTTTAAAAAATCCCTTTTCAAGAACTACAACGAACAGCTCGTTTGGACTACAGCATTTGTGTTCCGGGTTTTGTGATATCACAAAGCGGCCCATTAGAATATCATTAAAATAATTCCCGCCTACGGAAATTCGAATGGTTGGGGGGTGGGGAGGGGCGAGCTCGTGGTTAGATCAGACAAGACCACGACTAAGAAGAAGTGCTGCTGTAGCCTCAAGTTTTCGCAAGTTATTACACATGCTTCTGAATAATTACGTATGTAAATATGTATGTTACAATTATGAAAACATTTTTATAATAAATTGCTGACAGTACAATACTGGACAATGATGTAATCTGCAGAATTTACACTTCAATTATGAGACTACAGTGTTTGAATTAAATAACAATAAAAATGCTCTTATTTGTACATAGTGAATGCAGTTTTTTTAAGCAGTTGTTGACATCCTATCTAAAACGTGATTCAGCCAAAAAAAATTAAAAACAACAATAACGTTACCACTCTAATATGTCTTGCAATATCCGTGCGTGCAAAGGTTCTGCGCGATCCTCTTGTTCA